ATTTATAATATTAAATAATATTATAAATATAACATTTCTGATTTTAAATACCATTTTAACATCCCAATGAACCTAAAATTAGGAAATTCAATGTCATTTGTAAAAGAAAATTTTTTTAAAATAACCGAAGAGGATCAAAATGTTAAAAAATCCTTTCCTCTCACCAACTTTGAGAATCTGTTCACATGCGGTCTCTCTTAGTCAAAAACCAACATTTAGCCCCTCACCTTACAAAATTGATAAGTTTTAGTCTCTCACCTTATACCATAACAGTTTTAGCCCTTTATCTTACAAAATTGATAAATTTTAGCTCCTCACCTTACAAAGTTGGTGAGTTTTAACCCTTTACCTTATATTATGATATTTTTAGCCCATTACCGATACGAATTAAAAAAAATAGCCCTCACCTAATATCAGGTTATAACGTTTTGTTAGTTCTGTTAGTTGACTGTTAGCATTCCGTTATAAAAATTATGAAATTTAAATTATATTTTATTTGGTAGTTTTATTAACGGAATGCTAATGGATGCTAACAATCAACTAACAGAACTAACAGTCAGCTAATAAAATTGACAGTCAGCTAACAAAACTGACAGTCAATTAATAGAATTGACAATCAACTAATAGAACTGACAGTCAGTTAACAGAATTGATAATTAGCTAACAAAACTAATAGAACATTAAAACTTGATGTTAAATAATGGCTATTTTCTTCGATTCATACATATAAGAGATTAAAAGTGTCATAATATAAAGTTATGGGTTAAAATCTATCAACTTTGTAAGGTAGGGCGTTAAAACCTACCAACTTTGTAAGATAAAAAACTAAAAGTGTCATATTATAAAGTTAAGAGTTAAAACCTATCAATTCTATAAGATAAAAGACTAAATGTTGATTTTAGCCTCCCTCTAAAGCCTGGAGAAAGTAAATGAAAGTGTATTAATTTAACCTGCAAAACAATATTCGTACTATATCCATCAATAACATCTAGATCGGTAGAGACAAACACTGCGCGCTGTCTGTTTTCTTTGTTAGAAAATATGAAATAACATATGAATAAAAGAATTATTTTGAGATGTGATTTCATTTATTTTAAAAATTTAAAATTTTTTAAGATACAATAAAATTTAAATTTTTTTAAAAATTAGATGTAGAATTCTAACTTTGCATAGAAATTTATAACGTCTGGGGTCATTATTTGTAGGGATATATAAAGATACATTTTAACTGTCAATAGTTATATCTAATTTTTAAACATATTTTTTTAAATTTTAATTTAATAAAATAAAATAAAAAATCTAAAAATAATAAAAAATTAATGATGTTCTGAAAATCAAACCCTAATGTGCCTCGAGTGCCTATCTTTTGACTATATATACCTATCCTTTGATTATATATAAAATGGTAAGGTCGAATTTACTTTAGATTTCACTTTATTTTTATTTATTAATAAAAAATAAATCTTTATAAACTCTTTTAATCATTTACGAACTATTCAACATTCTTTCCTTTCTCAGTTAGCTTTAGAGCAGATGCAGAGGGGCTCTGCTCCAAGTCCAAGGTCCCTGCAGTGAAAATGGTTGAAGTTTTGTCGTTTTATCACCCTAGGTAATTTAGAGATCCAGATTATCTGCTAAGTTCCTGCCTATTACTAGTATTTTGTTAATTCATTCTCTGGAACTCTCTTTCTTTATTTGTTTCAATTTTTTTAAAAATGTATTTTATATTTAAAGTTGTAACAAATTACATAGTTTAAAATCTTTAAATGAGAATTGACTCATAAATTTCGTTTGATAATATTTTTTCATACTTTATTTTTTAGTTTTTATGTCTTTTTATTATTTTAATAATATACAAAATATTAATTAAAATAAATATTAAATATATAAAATATATTTTATATATTTTTATGGTATTAGAAAACTAAAAAATCTATAATTATAGTTACAAATCAGTGTTATTAAACTAAATCATAATATCATAATTTATATTTTTTAATTTAATATAATCTCAACTTCTCAACTATAAAATTAAAATTTTTTTTCATTATCTGGATTTTTGGGGAGACGTTGCTTCTCGGCCGCGGTTTCACAAAATGTGGGTTGGACTATTGGAGTATCGTGGAGGCCCATACGGTGACGTCGTAAACCAAGATTTTTGGGTCTGAGTATCAGTGATCCAGCACATCACAGCACATTCGTTTACAGAAACATTGCTCAGACCCAGCCCAACATCTACATCCTTTACTTTCTTCGTCTCTCGTACCGATGTTGCTAAGAAAAGAACACTCACCGGAGAGGCGGAGATTCATGGCGGTGGCACGGCTGATACGACCTCTAAGGCAATCACCACAAGTGCAGAACTGTTACTGCTCTCTCACAGTGCTTGATCACCTCCTATTCTCATCCTTACTGGTGACGGTAGCTACTAAAGTCACCTTGCATTCTTTCTCTTTCGCGACGTCTACTTCCTCTCGCCGGAACGTCCGTCACCGGTCGCGTGGACTCAGATTGCCTAATTCTCCTACGCCGCCTAATCTCCAAAAGGAAGATGGCGAGACCAGTGATTGGGATACCGATGTGAAGAAAAGCCGCAACCAGAAGAAGCGCGAGGCCCGGCGCTTCGTCCGTTGGGGCATGGACATCGCCTCCTTCTCGACTCCCCAAATCAAACGCACACTCAGGTACAATCAGAATCATACTTCCATCTTTTTCCGAATAACAGCAAATTTATTTTCCCGCCCGCCATAACTTTGTATGATTTGTAACGATTTACAGAGTGACGGCTCTCGAACAAGAAGTATTGGAGGCTTTAATGTTAGTGAAGGTGCTTCTTGGAACTTAGAAATTCAGTGGTTAGTTGCAAAATTTTGCATTTTTCCGAGCATTATTTGGTGTTTTGTTGTTGAAGATAAGGTGTTTGTGTTTTTCCCGCAGAGACTCGGGGCGGATGTTCGAGAAGGAAAGCGTAGGCACTTCAATTATATTGGTAAGAAAATCTGCTTAATTTAATATAAAGCTTATCTCTTGAATCATATGTATTTAGGAACCTCCACTAAACTCTGAAGCTTTTATTAAGAAGTTCTCAATCTCAATGTTATTTTATGATTCCTTAGTTCCTAAGTTTAGAGATTATCATGAATGTGATTCAAATTTGTGTGCCAAATCATTGTTAGGGAAACTGCTGCGAGAAGTAGAACCTGAATTAATGGATACTTTGATTCAAGCTACGAAAGTTGGTGATCAGAAAACACTGCAGCATCTAGCTAGTTTGCAGCCGCAAATCATTGCAGATAAGGATGATGATGAAGAATCCGAAAGTGAGGATGAAGATGAGGTAGGTAGAAATTTTTGTTTAGAGACGTCTAGCAAGATTCAAGTTTTGGGTTACATATCATGTAGCACTAGAGAATTTGAATTGTTATTATCATATCTGATGATGGTTTTCATTGAACTTGTTTGATCGTTGTTTTCAGGTATCACAAGCTCACACCAATATTGCAAGTAGATGGTTTGATGGCTTGATCAGTAAGGACATAACAATTACAAATGAAGTTTATTCGATTAACAGCATTGATTTTGATCGACAGATAATTAGAATAATGATAATAACTTATTGATATTGCAGTCTCTCTGCTTCCGGAAAAAGAAGAAAGAGTACTTAGATGTTGAAAAAGAGTTACGACTTGTGCATATGAATTCATCTAAGCATTTTAGCTTTGACTCATTTGATTAGAATCCCAACTTATGTTTCTCATCTAAATTTGTCCCAATTGAAGTAAATGCATAATCGTATTGTGTTTCGATCTTCTATTTATTTCTTTCACACCTGAACTTAACAGGAACTACGCAAACTTGTACGTAGAGTACACCCGATGAAAGACAAAAGACAAGGTGTTACAGAGGAAAATGATGGGGCGAAAATAGATGCAGAAATAATGGGTGCCGAGAAGTCCCTCACCTGTTTCCTTGGAGACATTGCTAGGCAATTACCAAATGAATAACATCTGATTACTTGTAACATTGTCATTCTCCTGTGCAATAAGGTAATATTGTTGATCTAGGCATATGATTCAAGCGTAGCCAATTAAAAATTTATTTATATCGTACTCAGAATCTTGTAACTTCTTGCATGTGTGCACTTCTTTATTGTACTTCATCTTCTGTACTGTGAAAATATTAATTAAAAATAAAATATATGAAAAAAATAACTAAAATTAATAAATTCACATTTGTCAAAAGATATTGTAAAAGAAGTCTGTGCCAGGTACGAACAAACGAAGCATAAATTGGTCATATTTAACCGAAGACCATTAAACTGGTCAATTATTTTTTTCTTTAACCGTCAGCAAAACTATCAATTACAATTGTCATCAATCACTTGGTTGGACGCACTAGACTTTATACGTGAATTGTTGGGGGCACATGATACTTTAGTAATGATCATAATCCGAGTTACGCTACCATCATACTAAAATTTTCTCACTTTTTAATTGTTTTTGGCGGCTAAACCAACAAGGCTGTAGGCCATCACTTAAACTACTGTAAGTTTTCCTACATATTTTAGTACTCTTTTTGTCTCCAAATTATTATTTTTTTTAAAATTAAAAATTTAAAA